CCTAAAAAAGGATTCTGAATCAATCATAAGTTGGAAAACCTTTTCGGAAGAAAGAATTCATCACACATATAAAAGCATACAGCCACGCTTAAGCACGAAGAACTATCATGCTAATCAGTAAAAGAGTTTAACTTAGAAGAATTTAAAAGTTCAGAATCATAAACAAAGAAGTTCAAACTTAGTTCATAGACCCAGAATGAGTCTGAAAGAGTCAAGGGTTCCAAAATAGAACCCTAGTTCAAAAACATGACCAAACCTCGGTAGAACCCCCCAAATTCTAGGGTTTCCAACTCGAGTCAAGCACAGGGATGAGGAGGCAACAAGCTCAGAAATTTCTTTTCAGAATCTCATGAGAAGACAAGCAAATATAATAGAAAGTTCGAAGCATAATGAGAGTAGAAAACATGCTTAAACGGGTCTTAAAACAAGGTGAAGTAGAAGTGAAACAGTAAACACTTAAGAACATGGTAGAGAAATACAGTAGAAGAACACATGAACACCGGAACAGTATAGCAAAAGAACATATAGGAAAACACAGTGAGATAAACATGTGAGAACATGGTAAAGAAACACAGTAGAAGAAAGAACGGAGCACAGTAGAAGAACATGCATAATAAAGGAAAACATAAGAACACGGTATAGACAAATACACACAAAGAAAAGAAAAAGAAAAGTCATAGAAACATTTTAAGCTTTTCAGAAAACCCTAAATCGGAAAGAAGTTAATTTTTGAAAGAAAAATTGGGGAAAACATTTAAACACTCAAGTAGAGCACATATATGTAACAGATCTAAGAAAAAAAAATTAGAGAAAACCTCGAATAGCTAGGGTTTCAGAGGAACCCTAAAACGAGAAAGGCTTGGAAAAAGGTCCGATCTGAGTCGGATAAGTCAAGGCCAGGCTCAAAACACCATAGTGTGCCGGAGCTGGGCCGGGGATGGCCATAGAACCTTGAATCGGCGAAACTCTGAACGGACGCCATCGAGGATAGACCTCGAAACTTCGAATACCAAGTGTTTAAGAGCATAGGGAGATGATTTTAAGAAATCCATGGCCTGAGAGTCCATGGATTCCGGTGAGATTGAGGTTGAAGATGGTGAGAGAGGCTAGGGTTTTGAGAGAGTTTGAGAGAGTTTGAGAGGAGAGGGATTTCAGAGGCGGCTGATAGAAGAGAATGAGGGGGATTAGGGTAGTCTTTGGGGATTAAAAAAAGGTAAGGAATGATCGTGGCCGTTGATCATTAATTAAAAGAAAGGGCCGGGCGGGTTAAATTGGTTGGGTCGGAGGCGGGTTGGATTGAAATTGGGTTGGTCCGTTAAGGGGTTTGAAATTGGGTCAATTAGGGGGATCAATTTGGGCCATAATTGAAACGAAATGGGGCCAGATATTAAATAGCCAGTTTTTCCCTTTTTATTTTATAAAAATAGTAAAATGATTTTGAAAACAAATTAAAGGTATTGAGTCAATTTTTAAAATAACTGGAACCAATTTCATAATGATAAAATGCTGTTAATTTTGAAAATAGGCTAAAATTGCAATTATATGCAATTTAGCTTTTAAAATACCAAATAAATTTGTAAAAATATATAAAAATTACCCTAGCTATATTTTGGTATAAATATGAGAATAAAATAAGTGATTCACAAAAATGATAATTTGTGAATAATTATTGATTTTGTACTGCTAAAAATGGGCAATAAATTGATTTAAAAATCCTTTAAAAATTAGGAAAAATACTAAAACACTTGGGAATACTTATATATGCATAAATATGCTATTTTGAAAGTATTTTGAATATAAAAATATACGAAAAAATTGGGTATCAACAAAGGCAGTTTAAATAGCAACTTCTCATAAACAGGATAGAAAGATCCTAAACACAACACGGATAAACAACTCCCAAATCGGGGTATCACAGAGTACATGAGCATCTAATGTCACAAGTCTTGAATACACTGTCTAAGATAGTCTGAAACTAGATACAATAATAGGAAAGATAGGGCAGGAAAAAACAAGGACTGCTAACACCGGGCAGCAACCTCGAGGACTCCCAAGGATAAACTGCGTAGAATATCAACACCTGCCGTGTCCGGAAACAATTGGATCTACACACGAAGTGCTGGGTGTAGCGAGAGTACAACCAACTCAGTGAGTAACAAGACTGAATAAGGAACTGAAGATAGTGACGAGCTACACAGTTATAGTTCAATTTTAGTAATGTCAAAAAGGAAAAATAGGCATGCTTTCAAATCCGACAATTTAAGTCAAATTAGTTTATACATGTCAAGTTCAAGTAAAATCGGAAGTAATAGCTCTCATTAATTTCAACACAGTGATATATCACAGCTAAGTGCAACAATAAGGAAATCAAGTGCATCCTCTCATAGCAACAGTCACTCAGTCCTCCCATTCACTCCAACCTCACAATCACTCATTTCCTCACAGTCACTCGTTCCTCACACCCACTCATACCTCTCTGTCGCTCAGCACTCGGCACGCGGCACTCGCACTCAGTAGGTACCTGCGCTCACTGGGGATGTGTACAGACTCCGGAAGGGCTCCTTCAGCCCAAGCGCATTATCGAACCAATCATGACATAAATCAATGAAACATGCTACGGCGTGCATCCCGATCACATAAATATCCTCACAATCAAGCCCTCGGCCTCACTTAGTTATCAATATCTTTAGTCTCTGGGCTCTCACTAATCATGAAAATCAGCCCACACAGCAATGATATGATGTATCAACAAGGAAATAATAGGGACTGAGATATGATAAACGAGCAAAACTGAGACCGAGTACAAATAGCAATTACCATATAATTTAACATGTTACACGTCCTCTGTAGGTCCTAACAGTACCAAAACATAGCCTAAACATGATTCCTAACATAATTTACAATCAAATATCTATAACAAAGGGCGAGCTTATAGCTAACAACAAGTTATTCAACTTTATAGTTCCATGGAATTGACCATGTCACTATTCCAACTATGCACGCCCACACGCCCGTCACCTAGCATGTGCATCACCTCCAAACCAAATCGCATAACACATAATCCGGGGTTTCATATCCTCAGAACCAGATTTAGAACTGTTACTTACCTCAATCCGAGCAAATATCTACTCCAACACACCTTTGCCTCGCGAATCGACCTCTAAATACCTCGAATCTAACCACAATCAATACGATACAATCAACACATGCTAAAGGAATCAATTCGACAAGAATATACGAGATGATAAATCAAAAATCCAAAATCGGCTCAAAGCCGGCTCCCTGGCCCACATCCCGAAATCAAACAAAAGGCACAAAACCGGAAAGCCCATCAGACCACGAGTCTAACCATACCAAATTCATTAAAATTCGATACCAAATCGCCACTCAAATTCCCAAAATCAACTTTACCAATCCCTAGCCTCAAACCCCCAAATTACATCTAAAAAACACACAAACTAGGTGGAAAAATCACCGGGGAAACAAGATTATTGATAAAAACCAAGCATAAGGAACTTACCTCAAGAATCTCTTCAAAAACCCTCTTAAAAATCGCCTAAGCCCGAGTTCAAAATGCTAGAAATTGTGAAAATCTCAAAACCCTCGTTTTTATATGTTCTGCCCAAGCTTTCTACTTCTGTGGACATTTAGCCGCTTTTGTGGTCCCTCATCCTCTTCTGCGGAAAATCACTTAATGCGACCAACCACTTCTACGGTCCAAATCCCGCTTCTGCTGGTGCGCATCTGCGCAAACGAATTCCACTCATGTGGACCAGTGGCTCCCAAGCCAATTCCGCTTATGCGACCCCTGCCCGCATCTGCACAATCGCAGGTGCGAAAATCCCATTGCACCTGCGACCTCTACTGAAATCCTCCAACTCCGCACCTGCGCACCACCTGCCGCACCTGCGGCATCGTACCTGCGGCCTAGACCCTCGTGGGTGCGATCACACTAGAAATGTTACAACTTTAGCAACTTCACAACTCCAATTCTTGATCCGTTAACTACATGGAATCAACCCGAGGCCCCTGCAACCTACCCCAAACATATCAACAAGTTTTAAAACATCGTACAAACTAAGTCGAACCATCAAATAAAAAAATATAAAAAACATGAATCGCACATAGATTCAAGCCTAATGAATTTTGAGACTTCCAATTTCTACAACCGACACCGAAATCTATCGAACCATGTCCGATTGACCCCAAATTTTGCACACAAATGACACCACGAACATACTATGATTTCGGAAATCAAAATCCGACCCCGTATCAAAAAAGTCCTCTCCTGGTCAAACTTCCCAAAATTCAACTTTTGCCATTTCAAGCCTAATTCCACTACGGACCTCCAAATCATAATCCGAACACGCTCCTAGGTACAAAATTACACAATGGAGCTAACGGAAGCATGAAATCTCCATTCCGTAGTTGTTTACACATAAGTCAACATCTGATCAACCATTTCAACTTAAGCTTTCCATTATGAGTCTAAGTGCCTCAATTCACACCGAAATCCCTCCGGACCCGAACTGACTAACCTAGTAAGTCATATAACAACAAACCCACAAAAGGAGTACTGAATGGGAGAACGAGACTACAACTCGCAAAATGACCGGCCGTGTCGTTATAGTAGGCTGTCATCTACAACACACGCCTCAGGGTGTGGCCCTTCCCCGGATGTGAACACGTGATGACTTGTGGACCAAGCTGCCTTTTTACTCAAGAGATTGAAAATAGTGGTGCAGGTTTGTTCTCTTGAATTTGCCTCATGATATCAGTTAGTGTTTCTCTAAAATTTCCAGGTTTAGTTTCAGCTCTTATTTGAGCTAGTTTCATATGCATTTTCACTAAAATATAACTAACAACTAAATTGTATAAGACATAATATGACTGTCTAGTAATCAATACTGCAGTAGGAACTGTTTGTAAAAATGTCCCCATATAACTACTATATAAACCCAAAAAAAAAAAATGGCGGAAAAAGAATGAGAATAACACGCTGTTAAATATATCGTCTTTGTTATAGGTAAAGCTCACAGTTGCAAAATTCATAACATCTTACATATATTCACCATTGGATGTACATCCATAGAAGGAGAGTGCATATATAATATATTCTTCAAACACAACATTATTTATTTCACACGCAGCTAGCTACAACTAGCCAATATTGCCAAATTCATACATACATACATACATACATACATACATATATATATATATATATATATATATATATATATATATATATATATATATATATAGGCTATGAGCAATTGAATAGCATAAATTTATATTACTTGAGAAGGTGACCCTCTATATCTTTGGTGACATGTAGGGCATAACCCAAGAAAACGAGAGGCTCTGGAGTGTCTTCAGTTTTCTTCTCGTACACAAATGTCCACGTAGTCCATTGGTGGTCATGGGATGAGATCATAGTGAAGGAATTGTACAAATCTAACAGATCTCCTCCAATCACTTTCCAAGTGATTGATTTGTTCTGATGATCCACAGCTTCAATCACCTGCTTACAGATCTTATCTTTTCCATCTATAATCAATAAAGTTCGAAAACACAGATGTTACTCGATGTTCAATTGTCTAGTTCCTCATATAAAAGATATAAACGGAATAACATATTTTCTTTTCATTTTTTTTCCTTTGATTTTCCTTTTCATTTTCTCCAAAATTTATTTGAAGCTCACAAAGATTGGACGTGCTATATTTTTCCTGAATAGAATTATCGTTAAAAATCTCAAAAAAGCATTTTACAGTGTGGAAAACATTGAATTAGTATGGAAAAAAGCTTAAAATTGATTATATTGAGTTTAGTATGACAAGGAATTTTCCTTGAGAAATATTGTTTTTAATATATTTGGTAAAAAAAATTCAGTACTTGTAATTGGCAAGTGAAAAATATTTCACGTATATATTATATTGAATTCTAGTAATAATATTAGCAAATAGAGTGTTAAGAAGTTTTTTAGTATTATCAACAATATGTCTAATATGTCTAAGTGTTAGTTGGATCAAGTAATATGAAGTCAAACATTAAGATAGTTATTAAAAAAGTGACTTTCCCCCTTTTGATGTAAAACATTTTATGGTAACAAAAAACATCATCAAATAATGTTTTCAAAAAAACTATTTTATTGAACAAAGACTTCTTGACATACTAAATACCTCAAATGCAAAAACTGATACAAGTAAATACTATATATGTATAGAGAGAAGAAATATGAATTACATACCGTCGTTATATTTCCAGCTAACAATTGAACCAACTTTTACGATTTCACCTTCATCAATATCAAATTTGTGGACCTTACCAGGACTTATATTGGATATATGATGAGTATTGGTATGCAAAATGTCATGAATCAGGTGTCCTCCACACTTCACCTCTACTGAAGCAATCAACTTACCATTCAGACCCATAATTTCTTCTTCGATATAGAAGACAACTTGAGAAAAGGAAGTGGTGAGAAAAAGTTGAGAGGCTGTAGTCTTTATATAGATTATATTCTTAGTTATTATTATTATTATTATTATTATTATTATTATTATTATTATTATTAAATATTTATGTTCTAGTTAGCTGCATGAAAAGCTAGTATAAAACGTGATCCATGACAACTCATGTTTTTTATTAGTGGAGATGGAAGATTAGTATCCGCTCATTACGTGTACAATTAGGTCTTGCTAAGTTAGTGTTATCCTTCGCCATAAAATTTTAACCATTTGACTTATTTTTAAGGGAAAAGCCCCTCGATTGAGATTGGACATTAAAAAAGTAGCCTATTCGTATCCCCGCCGTTATACTAATAGTTCAAATTTACCTTTTTCGGCTAATGAAAGTGAGTTATCCAAAATAAATGCCACCTGAATTTTTTTATTAACTCCTAATCCAAAATAAATGCCAAAGCTCCGGTTATGCGCGAGGTCTAGGGAAGGGCCGGACTATAAGGGTTTATCGTACGCAGCTTTACGTTGTATTTCTACAAGAGATTATTTTCACGGATCGAATCTGTGACCTCCTAGTCACATGACAGCAAATTTACCAGTTACGCCAAGGCTCCTCCTCGAGTTAAAAACTGTGAGAGAATGCTGCAAACTAGTGTTTGATAGATAGGAGGGATTGAATTAGATGTATTAGAATATTTTAAAAAGAAAATTAGAAAAACAATTTTTTATTTGGCTAGTTCACTTGCGTTAGCCAAAAAGGTTAAATCTGAGCCATTTGTGTAACGGCAAGGTACGAATATGCCATTTTTGTGAAAGGATAAATCTACTCTAAATCAAATACTTTATGGGTAAATTTAGACATTTTTCCTTTTAAAAATGTGGAAGATAAAGTTTACAGATTGCCATAAGGGATTCATTTTATAGTCAAGTTTGAGACTTCCAACTAAGATTCTTTACTCGAGTCTCAAAAAAGTATGAATTAGTTTTTGTCACGATCCCAACCCCGGTTGTGATGGCGCCCAACATAATGCTTGGCAAAACCGACCAATTCAGCACTCTCAATCCCTCATATAGAGTTCATTACCAACTAACAGGGTTTAAACACCAAATTAACATGAATAGAAATCTGCAACAGAAGGTAAAATGTGCAGAAATCAAGGTAACATCACTACATAGCCCACCGATCTGGTGTCACGAGTCAAGAGCCTCTAATACAAGTCTGAGAAACAACCTAAACAAGAGATAGTCTAAAATACTAAAAGTAAAGAGGATAGAGGGAGAAATCGGGTCTGCGGACGCCATGCAGCTACCTCGATGACTCCGGTGAAATCTGGACAGCAGAAATAGCTCGAACTACGCCTCAGGGATACCTGTATCTGCACACACGGTGCAGGGAGTAATGTGAGTACTCCGACCCAGTGAGTAATAATAATAAATAATGACTGACGGAAAGAAATCTCGCAAAAGCACTAAGCAGTTCTATATCAAAGCAGTAAGAACATTTAAACATTAACTAAATGAAGAAGTTAGGCAGAATCCTTTAAACCAGTACTCAACTCATTTACTTCTCACAATAACCGAAATCATAAATATACCAATGCGGCGTGCAGCCCGATCCGTATATCGGTGTGGCGCACAGCCCGATCCAATAATAATAGTCGACTGCGCTTACTAGGGGTGTGTAGACTCCGGAGGGGCTCCTACAGCCCAAGCGCTATACTGCTGCGGCGTGCAGCCCGATCCGTATAGATATACTGCTGCAGCGTGCAGCCCGATCCATATAATATACTGCAGCGGCGTGCAGCCCGATCCATATAATATACTGCAGCGGTGTGCAGCCCGATCCATATAATATACTGCTGCGGCGTGCAGCCCGATCCATATAATATACTGCTGCGGCGTGCAGCCCGATCCATAACATACCAGTCATCCTCACTATTGGGTTCTCAACCCCTCTCAGTCAAAATAAACTTCGCCCCTCGGGCATACTAAGATAAGATAGGGATCCTAGCCCACATATTACTCTAGATCGGAAGANNCAGTTAGAAACATGACTGAGGGTATGATTTTTAACAAGTAAAGTGAGGTCAATCAAGACGAATTCCCCTAAGGGTTCTACAGGTCGGCACAAGGCCCCAAACATGGCAACTAGCCCAGACTATAATGATATTAGCTAAGTCTCAGTCAAAAATACAGTAGAAACATCGATCCGGATGGACCAAATCCAAATCCCCAGTAGTAATGGACCCACGCTCAACATGCAGCGTGTGTCTCACCTCAATATAGCACTACGTTGTGCAAATCCGGGGTTTCAAACCCTCAGGACATCATTTATAACCATTACTCACCTCAAGCCGGCCAAAATCCTAGCTCTCTATGCCCTTGCCTCGCAAATCAACCTCCTCGCGCGTCGAATTTGGTCAAAACCACAACGAATACGTTACAATAGGCTAAGGGAATATAACCCAATCAAAAAGACTCGAAAAACATCGAAATTCACGAAATTGGAGAAACCCGAGCCCCGGGCCCACTTCTCGAAAAATCAGAAAGTTAACATCACCGGATTCCTTATCTCGCCACGAGTCTGTACATATCAAAATTACCAAAATCGGAGTCCATTTGACCCCTCAAATTCCACTTTGAAATGCTAAATTCCCAAGCCCTAGCATTACCCTCTTTTGATAAATTTCCACAAATTTCCATGTTAATTCTACCATTAAATCAGGTATTTAGGCCAAGGAACTCACGTCCAATCACACCTAGTCGAGATCCCCTTCAATTTCCGTCCAAGAGCTCTGAAGGTCGATCAAAAATGGTGGAAATGAACTTAAGCTCGCGAAACGAAATGAGCTTTAAAACCCTTCTCTGAATAGTGATTTTCGCATCTGAGGTTCCTTTACCGCATTTGCGGCTACCGCTTCTGCGGTCATCTCTCCTCATTTGCGAATCCCGCTTCTGCGGATACCTGTACGCTTCTGCGGAAATACCAAGGCCACGCCAATTCGCTTCTGCGACTCATCTACCGCATCTGTAGCATCGCAGATGCGGCCCCAAGCCCGCACCTGTGGAAACAACAAACCTTCCAAGAACTCGCACCTGCGAACCTTCCTTCCGCACCTGCGCAACCGCATCTGCGGTTCCTTTTCCGCAGATGCGGAAATACCAGAAACCAGGCACACCAGCAATCTCATAAGTCCAAATTTCATCCCGATGGCCATCCGATATCACCCCGAGGCCCCCGGGACCTCAACCAAAAGTGCCAACCCATCCTAAAACATCATTCAAACTTGCTCCAATCACCAAAACACCACGAACAATACCAAAATCATCAAATTACATCGAATTCAAGCCTAAGTTCTTCTAAAACTTCCGAATTACGCATTTGATCAAAAATCCGACCAAACACCTCCGAATGACCTGAAATTTTGCACACACATCCCAAATAACTTAACGAAGCTACAGCAACTCTCGGAATTCCATTCCGACCCTCGGATCAAAATCTCGCCCATCAACCGGAATTCGCCAAAATACTAACTTCGCCAATTCAAGCCTAGTTCTACACCGGACCTCCAAAATCAATTCCGATCACACTCCTAAGTCACAAATCATCCCCCGAAGCTAACCAAATCACTGGAAATCACATCCGAGCCCTCTAACTCATAAGTCAACATCCGGTTGACTTTTCCAAAATAAACCTTCCTTAAAGAGACTATGTGTCTCATTTCCATCCAAAACCAATCCAAATCGACTCATTCACTCAAGACTCTTATTATAAAACACAAGGAAGCAGAAAATGGGGGGAAACGGAGCGGTAACTCACGTGACGACAGGCCGGGTCGTCACAGTTTTACTATTATTGTTATTTAAAAGTTGTAATTGCTCTCTACATTATTTTGTTCTTTTAGCTTAACTTCGTAACAATATTATATATATTCAAGGTAGAAAAAGAGATGGAGATATGAATTTTATGGAACACGATGCATTATTCATGAGATAAGTCAAGCAGTACATTAAGATTCTTTTTTCAAGTTATTATTAAGCATGAGGAGTTAAGTGGGAGGTTCAACTCTAAAACCAATCTACAATACCTACTCAAAGCAAAAAAGCGAGAAGAAAAGTCGTTTAGAAGAAATTATTGATCCTTAATGAATTACAATATTAAAAATAAATAAAAATTGTATCTATTTAAGGTGGAGAAAGAGACAGATACGTGATTTATAATGGAAAAGGATGCGTTGTCCATGAAACATTTTGTTCATGGTATTAATGGTAGTAATTGTTGAGGAACAAACGTTATATAGAAGAACCAATCTAGCTACTTACTTTACTCCAAGGAAAAATAAAAGCATTGTGATATTTGGCTAGCAATGTATATTTTGTTAGTGCATTGTTTACCTTAAATTTTTATGTTTAATGTTAATATGTGCAACATTTGAACTTAATTAAGTAATTTTTATGTGTAGGATCAATGAAATACAAAGATAAGTGAAGATTGCACACAAAAATCTCGAAAATACAAGAAATGAAAAGGCGAAAATCGGAAGAAGCCAAGAACCAGGCACCAGATCAGGCAACGCCTGGCTCCTGGCGACCAATATCTCGCGCCCAACCTTGCGAGGCAAGGTTCCCTGTGCGCCACAGACGAGGCCTCGTGAGGTCTGGTCCTAGTACTCTCCCAGTCCGTGAATTAAGTTTTTCTTACTCGATTTTGGACTTGCTGAAATCCAATATATGAGACGGGTCCCCAACATACTTCCGGAGCATAGATACATGAAATATCGGATGCACGCCCGACAAGCTGGGTGGCAAGGCAAGCGCATAAGCCACCTCCCCAATCCTCCTAAGTACCTCAAAAGGTCCAATAAATCGCGGACCCAGCTTCCCTTTCTTTCCAAACCGCATGACACCCTTCATGGGCGAAACCTTCAGCAAGACCTTCTCACCCACCATATATGACACATCCCGAACCTTCCGGTCCACATAACACTTCTGACGCGACTGTGCTGTACGAAGCCTCTCCTGAATCAGCTTCACCTTCTCT